AGACTGTATAGGACCCTATACAGATCCGATACAGACTCTATAGGATCCTATACAGATCCGATACAGACTGTATGGGATCCTGTATAGATCCGATACTGACTGTATGGGATCCTATACACATCCGATACTGGACTGTATAGGATCCTATACAGATCCGATACAGACTGTATAGGATCCTGTAGAGATCAGATACAGACTGTATAGGATCCTACACAGATCCGATACTGACTGTATGGGATCCTATACACAGATCCGATACAGACTGTATAGGATCCGATACAGATCCGATACTGACTGTAGTATGGGATCCTGTACAGATCCGATACAGACTGTGTGGGATCCTGTAGAGATCCGATACAGACAGTATAGGATCCTACACAGATCCGATACAGACTGTGTAGGATTCTATACAGATCCGAACCAGACTGTATGGAATCCTGTAGAGATCCGATACAGACTGTATGGGATCCTGTAGAGATCCGATACAGACTGTATGGGATCCTGTAGAGATCCGATACAGACTGTAGAGGATCCTATATCCTGCAGAGATCCGATACAAACTGTATGGGATCCTACTACAGATCCGAAACCGACTATATGGGATCCTGTAGAGATCCGATACAGACTGTATAGGATGCTGTAGAGATTCGATACAGACTGTATGGGATCCTGTAGAGATCCGCAGACTGTAGAGGATCCTGTAGAGATCCGATACAGACTGTATAGGATCCTATTCAGATCCGATACAGACTGTATGGGACCCTGTAGACATCCGATACTGACTGTATGGGATCCTGTAGAAATCCGATACAGACTGTATGGGATCCTGTAGAGATCCGATACAAACTGTATACGGTCCTACACATATCCGATACAGACTGTATGGGATCCTATACACAGATCCGATACAGACTGTATGGGATCCTGTACAGATCCGATACAGACTGTATGGAAGCCTGTAGAGATCAGATACAGACTGTATAGGATCCTACACAGATCCGAAACAGAATGTAGAGGATCCTGTAGAGATCCGATACAGACTGTATAGGACCCTATTCAGATCCGATGCAGACTGTATGGGACCCTGTAGACATCCGATACTGACTGTATGGGATCCTGTAGAAATCCGATACAGACTGTATGGGATCATGTAGAGATCCGATACAAACTGTATACGATCCTACACATATCCGATACAGACTGTATGGGATCCTATACACAGATCCGATGCAGACTGGATGGGATCCTGTATAGATCCGATACTGACTGTATGGGATCCTATACGGATCCGATACATATTGTATGGGGTCCTATACAGATCCGATACAGACTGTATGGGATCCTACAGAGATCCGATACAGACTGTATGGGATCCTATACAGATCCGATGCAGACTTTATGGGGTCCTAAACAGATCCGATACACACTGTATAGGATCCCCCACATATCCGACACAGACAGTATAGGATCCTATACAGACCCGATACAGACTGTATGGGATCGTATACAGATCCGATACAAACTGTATGGGATCCTACGCAGATCCGATACAGACTGTATGGGACCCTAAACAGATCCGATACAAACTGTATGGGATCCTATACAGATCCGATACAGACTGTATAGGATCCGATACAGACTGTATGCGATCCTATACAGATCCGATACAGACTGTATAGGATCCTCCACAGATCCGATACAGACTGTATCGGGTTGGCCTGTAGAATTCAAATGGAGGCCTATAGAATTCCAATGGATGGGGTATAGATTTCCGATGGAGGCGTATATAGAATTCCGATGAAAAAGGCCTATAGGATTCCTATGGAGGCGCATCGACTTTCGATGGGGGCCTATAGAACTCGTAAGGAGGCCTATAGAAGTCCTATGGGGGCCTATAGAGTCCCGATGGAGGCCGATCGAATTCCGTTGGAAGCATATATAAAATTCGTATGGAGGGCTACAGGACTGCGATGGAGGCCTAAAGAGAATTCCCATGGAGGCCCATAGAATTCATATTGGGGCCCATAGAATTCCGATGGACGCCTATATAACGTGTATGGGTGCCGTAGAATTCCTATGGATGCATATAAAACTCCGATGGAGGCCCATGGCATTCGTATGGAGGCCAATGGGACTCCTATGGGGACCTATATAGAATTCCTACGCATGCCTATAGAATTACTATGGAGGCCTATGTAATTCCTATGGCGACCTATAGAATTCCGATGGAGGGCTATAGAATTCCTACGGGGGGCTAGAGCATTCGTACGGACGCCTGTAGAATTCCGATGGAAGCCTATAGAACTCCTATGGAGGCCGATAAAATTCCGATGGGGGCTTATATAGAATACTTATGGAGGCCTATAGAATTCCTATGGAGGCCCATCGAACTCCTATGGAGGCCTATCGAATTCGCATGGGGGCCTGTAGAATTCCATGGAGGCCTATAGAATTCCGATGGGGGCCTATAGAAGTCCTGGGGAGGTCTATAGACTTCCTATGGAAACCTCTAGAATTCCTAGGAATTCTATTAGGGAACCCTTGGCGCCCCCAGGAACCCCCCAGAGAGGGTTGCTCGGTTGCTGGGGGGGGCGGCCGGGGCTCCCACGCGCGCCTTTTCCAACAACAACAACAACAACAACAACAACAACGGCTCCCGCCTGAGATTTTTTCAAATCTAATCAAGACACCCGCTCCGGAGACTTCCTCACAATTTACTCAAGATCGGTGTTCCCGTCTGTGACTTCCTCGCAATTTAGCCAGGACCCCTGCTTCCATCTGAGACTTCCTCACAATTTACTCAGGAACGGCGCTCCCGCTTGAGACTTCCTCACAATTGAATCAAGACTTCCTCGCAATTTAATCAACCCCCCCGCTCCCGCCAGAGAGCCCTTCACATTTCACTCAGGAGTTGCGCTTTCGCTTGTGATTCCCATGCAATCTTATTAAAGTCGCCCTCTCGACGCTCAGGAAACACGCTGCGCCAAGCACGCCGTTACAATTTACTTAGAAATCGAGCTCTCGTCACACTCAGGCATCCCGTTTGACTGTCCCACCCGCCCGACCCGCCCGTCAGGGGATCGCCCGCCCGTCGTGGGCTCCCGCCCGAGACTTCCTTCAGGAACGGCGCTTTCGCCTTGGACTTACTCGAACGTGCCTGCTCTTACCTCCCTGCTTCTCCTCCCTCTCCCTCCTCCCTCCTCTCCTCCCTTCTGTCTCCTTCTTCTCCTCCCTCATCCTTATGCCTCTCTGCCCTATCCCCTCTCCCTCCTCTCCCTCCTCCCTTTTCCCTCCCCTTTCCTGCCTCCTTCCTCCCTCTTTCTTTCTCTCTCGCTCTCTCTCTCTCTTTCTCTTTCCCCTCTCTCTCTCTCTCTTTTTCTCTACCTCTTATATATATATATATTCTCTCTCTCTGCCTCTAATCAACCGCCCCCCTCTTCGCTCCTGCTTTCCTCGCGTTTCCCCTCTTCCTTCCCCCCTCCCCCTCCCTTCCTCCCATTCTCCCTCGTTCTCCTCTCCTCTTTTTGCCTGGACCACACCAATTCCAATGGCGGGCACATGTACGCCCACGAAAGATTGTCCGCCCGTTCAGGTTCGCCCGCCTGTCTAAGCCCGCCGCCCCCCGCAAAGAGAAAACATCCCCCCAAAAAGGGGTGTGATCGAAGACAAAAAAAGCGGGCATCGAGGGTGTAGGGGACTCGTGTTGAATGACACGCGGGCAAGTAATAGCGAACACGCTTAGAACGATTGTTGTTGTTGTTGTCGTCCCCCCTGCAACCCGCCCGCGACCCCCCGCGACCCCCCCCGCGACCCCCCCCGCGACACCCCCCCCGACCGACCCCATTACCCACCCGCGACCCACCCCGCGACCCACCCGGCCCGCGACCCACCCCGATCCCCGCGACCCACCCCGCGACCCCCCCCGCGACCCCCCCGCGACCCCCCCGCGACCCCCCCGCGACCCCCCGCGACCCACCCCGCGACCCACCCCGCGACCCAATCCGCGACCCACCCCGCGACCCACCGCGACCCACCCGCGACCCATCCGCGACCCGGCCCGCGACCCGGCCCGCGACCCGGCCAGAGACCCACCCACGACCCACCCGCGACCCAAGCCGCGATCCACCCACATGACTTGAACGAAAAAATCGGCGCGTGCGGCGGGCTCACTGCAGTAGTTGTAAAGGTTAGGCGCCTGCGGCGGGCTTCTTCAGAGCCTCGCAGACTGACGACGTCCTCGCCGCCTCCTCACTCTTATCCGCAACTGCGGGGTGCTACCAACAGGAGGCCTCAGCCCACAACCCAGGCGCGGTGGCGGGATGGGTCGAAGGCCACTAGGATAACGCCAACGTCTCAATATGCGCTGATGATTCCTGTCCGCTCCCGCATGATGTTCCCAGATGCGCCAAGGCAGCGCCGAGACGCACCGACGCAACTCTGTATATCCTATCATGATAGAGAGGGGACCCTCGGCAGGGGGCACAGCCATTGCGGATAAGAAGGCTCGAAACTATCCCTACCCCGAAGATTGACAAGCCAAAAGACGATGACAGTCTTAGGGATGCGCCCTCGAAAATTGCGGGAATCCTTGAGATGGGCATCGAGATGAGGAGATGCCAATCCTAGGGGTAGAGATACGTTTCAGACTGGTGAGAGGAGCCTCTGGGCCAACTCCCCCGGGCCTATGCGCGCAGGTTGGAATCGAGCGCCGTGCGCTGGCGTCTGAGACCCCCGAAGCGGGCTCCCCCTCCCCCTCCCCCTCCCCTCCAAGGGACCTCCTCCTCCTCCTCCCCCTCCTCCTCCTCCTCCTCCTCCTCCCTCCCCGTGCCCCTCGCCCTCCTCCTCCGACTACTCCGTCCCTCCCTCCTCCATTCCTCTTCCTCCTCCCTTGCCCCTTCCTCCCTTCCTCATTTCGCCCTCCTTTCTCCCTCCCTCCCTCCCTCCCGTACTCCTCCTCCCCCTCCCCCCCCCTCTGGGGAAGAAAGGCCCAAGTTGCCCGCCTCGATGAGCACGCGGCTCCAGCCAGGTACGGCCGATCGCGCCGCCTCGTCAGTGCTGGTATCTCGCAGGGCGACGAGCGGGGGAGAGGCCAACCGACGAATGAGGTGAGGGGAGAGGGTAGGGAATCAGGGGATAGGCAACCAGGGGATACGATGGGGAAAGGGAGAAGGGGCGGATAAGGGGTACATATACAGGGCATCGACACACACATATATATATATATATATATATATATATATATATATATATGCGTGTATATATATATATATATACATGTCTATATATAATACGGGAAGAAGGGGGATGGGGATACATATGTATAATCATGTACCTATAGCAACGTGCGCACACGTGCACCGCAACTTTTTACGTGTGTATTTTTCGGGGGGGAGGAAGGATCAGTAGTTCAGGGATCGGAAGAGGGACGGAGAACTCACAGGAGGGAGGCGATTCAAAAATCCATCGTCGGCCGCCATGGGCAATATCGGGGATCATCTGGGCTAACTTTCTGTAATATCCACCCGCCTTTCAGGCCGACTGCCATGTTGATTGGAAGCTATGGCATGTAGCTTCGCGCTGGGAACTATCCCGTATGGCCTCTCAGATGGTCTCCCGTATGGTTTCCCGCATGGTCTATGATCACCCGTATGGTGCCTCGTGTGGCCAAAGATGCACCCAGTACGGCCGAAGATGGCCTCAAGACGGCCCAAGAGGCCCCCAAGAGGCCTCCAAGACGGCCCAAGACGCCTCCAGGGCATTCTGGAAGGCCCGAGGAGGCAACAATCATTGACGTCCCGAAGGTTTTTGAAGGACTGTGGCAATTGCTTCCTTTCAGCTTTCCGACGGCGCAGACTGGCCCAAGACGCTCCACATATCGCACTAAGATCCCCCGAGAAGCCTCCAAGATGGTCACATAACGACCCCAAAGGCCTCCAAGACGGCCCAAGGAAGGCCCCAAGACGGCACCAGGAAGGCCTCCGAGACGCCTGCAATGGCCTCCGAGACGGCCCCGAAACATCACAAGAGGGCCCCAAGAGACCCCCAAGACGACTTCCGACGGCGTCCTGGGGGCCAGGAGCGCCCTACGACGTCCAAAGAGGCTCCAAAGAAGCCCCCCAGAAGCCCCCGAGAGGCCCACGGAGGCATCCAAAGAGGCCTCCGAAGAGGCCCCACTCTGCCCAGGATCTGAAGAGGGGGTGGTGGTGATCCCTTCAAGTTCAAGTGCAACACCTGGCGGTGCCTATGCGCCAAGGCGTGGGTGAGAAGGGATGTGCGAGAGATGGAGCAAATCAGAAGACCACATAATGAAGTTCAGTGGATCGTAATACAAAGGCTACGCTCAGCACTTGCAGTGCCTGGGTTCGATCAAGTCGCCTGCAGACGAGGTATCACTCCCCCCAGACCTATCCTTCGGGGCCTTCCGACCAGAGAACCTCGAGGGGCAGCACGGGCGAGGCGACGAGGACCCTCCCCCCCGAGGAGGCCCAGGGTGGCGAACGACTGCACCCCAAAAAACCCGACCCTCAAAATTCGAACCTCGTCGCCGTCGCCGTCGCCGTCGTCGTGGTCGTCGTGGTCGTCGTGGTGGGTGGTCGTGGTGGTCATGGTCGTGGTTGCGGTCGTCGTCGTCATCCGCATTGGCGGCGCCCGCACCCGCGGCGACGACGTCTTCCCACGAGGGAAGCAGGCCCTGAGAAAAACGAGTCCTGTCAGGGCTTCCCGAATAAGGACATCGCGAATTTGGATTTTGAAACTTCTGCCTGGAGGGAACGAATACTGGAGAATGCTTGGAACCTTGGCTGCAGCTTTCTAGACCGCGGCGCCAACGTGCCACATGCCAGAATATCAAAACAGAGCAGGGATAAGGAGGAACAGGAGGAGGAGGAGGAGGAGAAGGAGGAGGAGGAGGAGGAGGGAGGAGGAGGAGAAGAGGCTGCTCCTGGGACAGAGCTTTCACCCTTCACCCGGGATTATTTTTGGACGGCCCTGGGGCCCGGGGAGGAGCCCTCGAGGGCCCGGCGGCGGCGAGAAACCTCCGGGACCCTTTTTCCTCCTCCTCCTCAAGACCTCCTCCACCTCCTCCTTCTCCTCCTCCTCCTCAAGACCCCCTCCTCCTCCTCCTCCGCCTCCTCCTCCTCCTCCTCATGCTTCTCTCCTCCTCCTCCTCCTCCTCCTCCTCCTCCTCTTCAAGGCCCCTTTCCTCTTCATGGCGAGCTGGGGTCTCTGGTTTGCGGGGCCATACCTCGGGTCTGTCGCGGCCGCTCGGGAAGATCTGGGCCCCCCCAGAACGCCCTGGGCGAGGCGCAGGTGCTGGACAGCACCCCAAGGCTGGAAGAGCCTCTGGGAACCAACGAAACCTTGCTCGAACCTCGAGCCTCGAGGACCCCAGTCCTTCATGGCGACGACTCAGTCGTCGGCGGCGCGCGCGCTAACCTGTCTTAGGAACCCGTGGATCTGGCGCGTGGGCGCCAGATTCACGGATCGGGGAAAGTACCCTCGAAACACGAGGCCAGTGCCGTCCGATCTGGCGACGTTGTGCGCCGATTATGTGCGGAAACGGGGCCCGCCCCTACTCCACGCGCCTCAATCAATGCTTGCGCCTCCCTTCCTTGAGAGTGAGGGGAGAAGATCCTCCCCCCTCCCCCTCCGCCCACTTACCCCTGGATTACTTCCCCTTTGAAAAAGAAACCAAGAAGTACTGATACCGCTGCTCCCCAGACATCTCCAGGGGTGCGTTGTGATTAGAATTTCGAAAGCCAATCCAGCCGGGGCGACGAGGGCCTCCCACGAGGCCCAAAAAGGTGAAAACGAAGCAACGGTAGCTGTATCGGTACCTGTCCTCCCCCCACGTAGCCCTGCCCCCCCTTTCCACTACCTTTCAAGAAAGCGGCGCGACCCCCTTGCGGCCTTGCGGCTGACGCGCCCCTCGGAGAGGCGTTGCCGCGTGCCGCGGCGGCGCGGCGGTGCACGCAGGCGTCTTCGCCTCGGCGGCTTTGGGCGCGTGCGGCCGTCGTCGTCGTCGTCGTCGTCGGCGGCGGCGGCGGCGGCGGCGTCGTCGTCGTGGTCGTCGTCGTGGTCGTCATCGTCGTCGTCGTCGTGGTCGTCGTGGTCGTCGTGGTCGTCGTCGTCGTCGTCGTCGTCGTCGGATTCGTCGTCGTCGGATTCGTCGCCGGCGGTGGCGGCGGCGGTGGCGGGAGCCGCGTCGGCGGCGTCGACCTTCACGTCGGCATCGGCGTCGGCATCGGCATCGGCGTCTGCGTCGACGTTCACGTCAGCATCGCCGTCGGCGTCGGCGTCGTCGTTCTCGGCGTTGTCGGCGGCGGCGGCGGCGGCGGTGGCGTCGGCGTCGGCGTTGGCGTCGGCATCGGTATCGGCATTGGTATCGGCGTCTGCACGGGCGTCGTGGGCGTGGGCGTGGGCGTGGGTATCGATATCGGCGTCGGCGTTGGCTTCGCCGTCGGCATGCGTCGGCGTCGGCGTCGGCGGCGGCGGCGGCGTCGTCGTCCTCTTCGTCGTCGTCAGCGTCGTCGTCGGATTCGTCGTCGTTGTCGGCGTCGGCGGCGGCGGCTGCGGCGGCGGCCGCCGCGGCGTCGTCGACGCTCACGTCGGCATCGGTGTCGGCATCGGCATCGGCATCGGCGTCGGCGTCGGCGTCGGCGTTGGCGTCGTCGTCATCGTCGTCGTCGTCGGCGGCGGCGGCTGCGGCGGCGTCGGCGTCGGCGCCGTCGTCGTCGTCGGCGTTGGCGTCGGCATCGGTATCGGCATCGGCGTCGGCGCTGGCTTCGGCGCCGGCATGCGTCGGCGTCGGCGTCGGCGTCTGCGATGGCGCGGGCGTGGGCGTGGGCGCGGGCGTGGGCGTCGGCGCCTGTATCGGTATCAGCGTCGGCGTCGGCGTCGGCGTTGTCATTGTCGCCGTCATCGTCGTCGTTGGCGGCGACGGCGCGTGAGCGGGAGTGGGCGCGGACAGTCGCTGCCTGCGAGCAGGTCGCGGGAACGCAGGAGTTCGGCACGGGGCCATCAAGAGCGTCCCCGCCCCCCCCCTGCATTCACAGGGCGGCTTCAAATCAATCGCCCCCCAGACTCTGGGCAGCCGCGGCGGCCACTTATCTGCGATGGGGGCTTACTGCCTCGATGCGGAGCATGGGCCTTGCTTGATAACAGTCCGCAACTAGAAACAATGGGCTATGGACAGTGGCGCCCGCGGCGCGGCCGTCCGCCGTCGCATCTCGGGCGCCGCGCCACTAAGAATTGTTCATCATGCCGAGGCCGCGCCATTCCATCAACCAGCTGCCCAGCTGATGCGGCCCGATAGCGTCTTCTCAGTCGGCGTCTTGAGATTATTGCTCGGCAGCGAAGCGCGCGCTGATTCGACGCCAACGACGTAGGGCACTCGAATACAGAGCGCGCCGCGTTCAGAAAGGGGTCATTGGCCCCTTGATGAGCTCATGTAGTGTCATCCGTGCAAGGTAGCGTTCGTCCAAGGCGTGGGCGGGCAGCGCGCGCCCCCCCCGCTGCTCGCGTTCCTGCTACGCGGCGGACTGCAACCTCGAAGGGCGTGGCCTTTGGTCTCGTCGTCGCCCTCGCCAGTGGCGTCGGGGGCCGCGGCCTGCCAGGTGATCTCCTTAGGTCATGGTAACAACTTGTGGGTGAGATAACCCAGGCGTCTCACCTGTAAACATCTGGTGTTCATGCACATGCGTGCAAGTACCGTGTTGGCGGACATCACGGTAGAAGTGCTGGAACCTTTAAGCTAAACCATACGATTCTGAATACAGGCGCTGCGAATCCGTGAATTCTTGGTGCGGGCCGTGTAGAACCACGGTGCCTTCCTCTTGTTCGACCTCGTCTTCACCGATGGCAGATCGACGCCCGTTTCCGCGCTCGGACACCAATGACGTTTTTGGATGGTTCGCATTTGCGCGGTCTCCACCAGATTGAAGGCCGTCTGCTAGACCAGGGAATCGAATAAGGTCCTCGTCGGACGAAGCGGGCGGATTTAATTGTAATCTGGCGTTGTCGGATGATAGAATCGCTACTGCCTGTGATGTCATGGACGTCGAGAGAAGCAGTGGTGGACTCGTAATACAAATTGAATCGACAACGTGGTCGTTGTATGACAGCGCGCAGCAATCAGCCCCTTGAAATGCGGTAGAGAGCACCGAACTTGGGCCAGCAAAACGTAGATCACACTGTCGATGCTGAAGTGGGTCATGACAGTGTACTTAAACGCCTCGTGTACTTTCAGAGCAGGTTTGCTTCCCGACGACACTCGATATACCTTCTTATAGTCAGCCAAACGCGGTGGGTGCCTTTACTGCAAGGAGAGAAGATCTGCATGATATGGTGGTTATCATGGCCATGCCGTCCCTGCCAAATTCCTTGACCATAAGCACCGCGTTAAGTGCGGTCGCCCTCGCATCAGGGAAGTGAGCCGCAACGTGCCTGTTCCCAATTGTGGCTACAAGTTGTCCGCGCTCTCCGTTGACTTCGGCGATGGTGCTGGAGCCATTCCACCCGCCATGGTCTTCGTCTGGTTGGCCCTGTTGACCCTAGCTGTTTCGGTACCTTGCGCGGTAACTGCCGCGGCGATCTCTCGGACGCGGCGTCCACGTTCCGGGCCAACGGACCCGGTTTCTTCGAGATCTGCTCCTTCTAAGCGAGGAACCATAAAGGGTTGTCTGCCAGTCTAGGCGCTGCGTGGGGAAAGGGCCACCACATATAATTTTTCACTGCCTGCAGCTCCCCATATGCGCATCTATTAGCATGGACCTGTCCGCCGTGAGTGTTTAGGCACAAAAACTGTCGAATAGAAGCGGGCTTGAGTATTGACGGTCTGGGAGTGAATCTATCTGTGCATGAGTTGCAGTGTGACTGAGTCTCAATAGTATGAGTGCGTCTCTGCGCATGAGCCTGGGGCCTCCTGGGGCCTCTTGGAACCTCCTGGGGTTTCCTGGGGCTTCCTGGAGCCTCCTGGGGCCTCCTGTGGCCTCTTGGGGCTTCCGCGGGCCTCCTGAAGACTCCTGGGGCCTCGCGTGGCATCCTGGGGCCTCCAGGAGCCTCCTGGATCATCATGGGGCCTCCTGGGGAGGATTCGTGCCCCAGGAAGAGGCCCAATCTATAGGAACATACGAAAAACACTTCGGATTGACGCCACAGGAGAGAGGCAATCTATAGGAACACACGTAAAACACCAAGGACTTGTGCCCCCAAGGGAGGCCCAATCTACAAGAACCTCGGTAACACGCTCAGGGAAGGATACACCGGGGAAGGACACTTTCTAGAAACATACGTAAACACAGAGGGTTCGCACTCCAGGAGATGCCCAATCAATAGGAACATGTGCAAAACACGGGAGATTCGAGCCACTCCTGTGCCTTCCGAGGCCTCGTGCTCCTGGAGCTTCGGTGGGGGCTCCTGGGGCCTTCTGGGGCCTCCTGGCGTTTTCTGTGGCCTCCTGTGGCCTCCTGGTGTTTCCTTGGGCCTCCTGAAGCCTCTTGGGGTTTCCTGGAGCCTCCTGTGGCCTCCTGTGGCCTCCTGGAGCCTCCTGTGGCCTCCTGGAGCCTGCTGGAGCTATGGCATCCTGAGAATCCACGCCCACGAGTCTGGCCAGCAAAACAAGCAGACCGTTCGAGATATCCTCGCAATCTGGGCCACCAGGGGTGCGATAACCAGCGCCTCGCTCGAGACATCCTCCAAATCTGCTTCGACAGCTGAGGATGTTGGGGGCACAAACAGGCAAATCGCTCGAGACATCCCAGCAATTTTGGCGCGAACGGAGGGGTGAGATACCCCCTGGCGGCTCCCCCTTGGGGGCGCCTCGCTGGAGACATCCTCAAAATCTGCTCCGACAGCGGAGGATGTTGGAGGCACAAACAGGTAAACCGCTTGAGACATCTCCACAATTTTGGCGCGAACGGAGGAGTGAGATATCACCTCCTGGCGGCTCCCCTTTCGGGGTGCTGAAACCCGCGCCTCGCTCGAGATGTCCTCAGAATCTGTTCCGCCATCATCTCATCATCGTCATCGTCATCGTCATCGTCATCGTCATCGTCATCGTCATCGTCATCGTCATCGTCATCATCATCATCATCATCATCATCATCATCATCATCATCATCATCATCATCATCACCGACATCATCATCATCACCGAAATCATCATCATCATCATCAATAATGCCATATCACCACCACCATCGTCATCCTCACCATCGTCATCGACATCCTCCTCATCCTCATAAGCATCAACAGCATCACCATAATCATCGAAACCACCATCCTCATCGTCACCATCATCACCAACACCATATAGCATACCATAGCGAAACATAATGAATTATGTGCGAGTCTGAGCGATGAGTGGGGTGTGGGTGCGACTGTTCTTCCCGCGCGGTGAAAGAAATTATTTACTGCCTGGAGTTCCCCATATGTGCATGTAATCGCATGGACCTGTCCGCCGTGAGTGTCTAGGCGCAAGAGTTTTCAAATAGAAGCGGGCTTGAGTATTGACGGTCTGGGAGTGAATCTAACTGTGCATAAGTTGGAATGTGACTGAGCCTCAATAGTATGAGTGCGTCTCTGCGCATAAGCCTGGGGCCTCCTGGGGCCTCTTGGAACCTCCGGGGGCTTCCAGGGGCTTCCTGGAGCCTCCTGGGGCCTCCTGTGGCCTCTTGGGGCTTCCTCGGGCCTCCTGAAGACTCCTGGGGCCTCGCGTGGCCTCCTGTGGCCTCCAGGAGCCTCCTGGATCCTCCTGGGGAGGATTCGTGCCCCAGGAGAGGCCCAATCTATAGGAACATACGTAAAACACTTTGGATTGACGCCGCAGGAGAGGGGCAATCTATAGGAACACACGTAAAACACCAAAAACTTGTGCCCCCAAGGGAGGCCAAATCTACAAGAACCTCGGTAACACGCTCAGGGAAGGATACACCGGGGAAGGACACTTTCTAGAAACATACGTAAACACAGGGGATTCGTACTCTA